ATTTAGAAAAAGATGCTCTGGGTGAGCCATTTCAAGAAAGGCATCCCTCCTTCTGAGGGCAAAGAGCCAGAGCCTGGGGAGCCCTTGGCCGGCACATGCCTGCTTAACTGGGAGCCTTATGCAGGGCAACTCTCCCAACAGACACATACATACACGGAAGTTGACCCTGGTGTGCAGCCGTCAAAGCCCAGCCCCTTATTGCACCCAACATCAGCTTTCTTGACCCAGGAAGCTATTCTCAACTGGGTGATCGGACCAGATACCTCCCCAATCCCCAGTCTCCCTTCCTCTTTTTCCAGACTGCTGACAAAGGAGCCTCAGCCAACCAGGAAAAAGGCTAAATCCACCCACACTCCTTTAGACCCCACAAGCGGAGGGGCAGATCCTGGTCTGAGGGGTCCCAGCCTACAGCGGGCACCTGCACCCCAACACTGGAGAGCCCCAGAGCACATGCTGAGGCCTGGGGAGTGGGGGGTGCTCCCAATGCCGCGGATTGAGACCCAGAGGGGAGCCCTTTCCATCTGGCCCCCCCCACCCTGCCTCTGCATTGGCCCCTTTGTGAGGGGCTTAGGACAGGCTCCAAGCCCGCCTAGGAGCCCCCACTCTCAGCGAATGTTTCAGGGTTCCCTAGAGAGAAAAGTGGGCCATGGCATAAGTGGGGTGTTGGTTAAACCCCCCACATAAAATGGATCAGCACTTGAGTGGGAGAAGTGGGGACTAGGCCCTGGGCCTGTCCCTGCGTGGAAGTCTTTTATGGAAGAAGGGGTGACCCTACTTGACCAGTTTCTACCCAGCTTGGGCAGATGGTAGGAGGGCTCCCTTGGACTGTTTCTTGCTGGGCTCCTTCCCCTGCCCCCCACAAGGGTCACAAGCTGTGCTTGTAAAAGCCCACAGACTGGGGGGCCAAAGAAGGGGCAGGATGGCATCAAACTTGGCCCAGGCCTCCCTGCCTCCCGCGGGGTGGGTCCCTGTGATGGGCTGGGGGAGGGCAGGGGTGGGCGGCCCAGCCCCCTGGCACCCTGCCCCTTGTTTGCACTATTGGATTTCGGAGTGCCGAGGGTGGGGAGATAGAGCTGCCTGACTCAGAGAGCGTGTGTGGGTGTGCCTGTGCACTGTGTGTGTGTGTCTGTCTGTCTCTCTGTCTGTCTGTCTCCCCCTGGCCCCCAGGCAGCCGAAGGCAGGGACAGGAGTAGTGCTCTGATGAGGCAGTACCAGAGGGGCGCTGTTAGCTCTTGTTGGCACCCTCTCACCTCACCAACTTTGGTCCCTTTCTGGGGCCCGAATGGTTAACAAAAACCAGAACCGTACTCCAATATTGGAGAGTAACTGGGGGCTGGGGGCTTTAAATCAGGGTAATATCCTGCCTTTCCTCCCCCAGACTCCGCATGGTCTCCGTGCCCCCCCCAGCGCTCCCCTTCCACCACTGATAGTTGGTCCTGCTTCCCTGGCACAAGGGGTGCCCTAGGGACCAGGGGACAAGGCGAGGGGGTAAAGTACCACTTCTTATAGTGAAAACTGCCTCCCAGAATCAGCCAGCCTGCCTCCCTGCACCTTACCCCTCCTCACCCCCACCAACCAGGGGAGACTTAAGCTTAAATTGACCTAACAACTGTCCCTTCACCCACCAGCTATTTCCCCGGGGTGCAGTGGGCAAGTCTCACCTTAGAGTCCCCACCTGCCCAGAGCCTCTGGTGGCCGAGGCTAAGGGCTGCGAGGGCAGCCAGGAGAGGGGCGAGGTTGAAGCGCGTGTCTGTGTCGGTGCCCCGGGGTCGGAGCCGGGCGGAGCGTGGCCAGCTTCCTGATGCCCGCGTTTAGTCAGTCTCTTTGCATGTGTGGATTCGTGTGTGTGTGTGGGTTTCTGTTTGGGTTTCTGTTGTTGTTGGTTTTGTTTCTTTTTGTTTTTTTTTTTAATAAAGAAAAGATGTGTATATTTTTGGCAATGACAGAAACGTAGTGCAGATATATTTTTGCCTGTGCTGCTCAACTGGTTTTTTTCTGATACTGAAAATAATATTAATATTCCTGTTGATAAGACTTTGTAAGATGTTAGGGAGCTGATAATGGAGGGGGTGGGTGGGAATCCTTCAGAGGCAATTTCTTAGGCACTTGCAAGGGCTTGGGGGGAGGGGGGAGGCAGTTGTGATGACCTCAGAAATACTCACTTTTTATTAATGCTAAATATCAGTTAGAAAGGAATGATAGAAGTCAGCATTTTATTCATCTTCATCTATTAAGCTAACTCCCTGCCCCCAAACCACTGAAAAGAAAAATAACCTTCAGAGATTCTTAGAAGAGTTGCTCATTCACACCCACGCTCTTGCCCAAGGCCGACCCACTTAGAACCAAAGTCAGCTTCTGTTCTGGACAGTGAAGGAAGTCCATTTACCCCAAGGCTGCCGTGGCAGAGAGTGAGAGGTCCTGGAACCAAGACCTCCCCTTCCCTCCAGCACCCTAAAGTCTGGGGTTCTCATCTCCAAGAGTCTCTGTTTTCTGATTTTCCCCAGGCTGGGGTGCAGTGGCGGGTAGGCAGGTTAGATTTGAAGAAGGGCCCCAGGCTGCGTATGGATTGGTGCTGTCCCTCAGTTCGGGGCAGGGGGACAAGAGAGAGGTGGTGGGTCTCCTCTTTCGGGGTGGGGGGGGGCTTTATAATAAGAAAGGTCTGGAGGGCTTCTGGACAGAGCAGGGTCCCAGTGCAAAGGGCATGGCTCTTGAGCCCCCACCGTCTGCTCCCAGCCTCAGTCCCTTTTTCTAGGATGAATTTGGATGGGGAATAGGAAAGGATGCAGATTTATAGGTGGCTCTGTCTAGGGGAAGGGAAGGATGTGGTTTGCAGGGCGGAAGTGGAGTTTGAAACTGCAGAGTGGGGCTCAGTATGTCATCCCCTTCAGTGTGGAGGTGTGAGTGCGGTGTGCGTGCAGAGCCGCTGTCTGGCCTCACAATGAGTGCATGAATGTTAGAGCTGGAAGGGACCTATCTTTAGGATCCTGCAAGCCAGCTCCTTGCCCCACAGGTGATAGCTCCAAGCCTAGGAAGTGGGGGCAGGGGCTCAGGGGCAGAGCCGTGACCAGTCCTCAGGACCCTGGCCTCCTGGTCCTGGCTCTCCTGCCCCACTGCACTGCCTCCGTGTGGCTGTCCGTCTGTCCCTGTGTGTGTGGTGTGTGGTGTGAGTGCAGGGCTGTGCCCAGGGTGGGGGGTATCTGTGAAGCACTGACTGTCTTAGCTCAGAGCTGATGGATCCTCTCCAGAGACAATGACACTTTAAAGGTTGCCTTTTCTTGTCTAAGTTTTTCCGATGTGTGTGTGTTTTCCCTTCAGATTCCTAGGTCTATTGCTGCCTCCAGGTGTCCTTACCTTGAGGCTGATGAGAGCACGCCTGCCCATTCCTGTCCTGAGTTCTAGGGAAGTACTCCTAGGAAGGGCCTCGACAGTGAGGGGAGCCAGAGTCTGGGAAAGAGAGAGGGCCAGCTCTTGAGAAAGGGTGACCTCCATGCTGCCTTTTCCCAAACTGGAAATGCAGAGTTTTCAAAGACACGGGCTCTGCCTGCCAGCATCTGCCTTGGTATGTGGTCAGCAGAGTTAAGGGTAGGCAGCTTGCTCCCAGTTCTCCTTTATCCCAGTTTCCTGGAGGGCTTGCGGTCACTTCAGTTGGGAATCTGTAGGAAAATGGGGCGCAGTACCCTGGCTTCCTCCAATCACATCAGTCCAGATTAAAAGTGTGTCTGGCTCCCAGTCCCTTTGACTTGATCTACTGAAAAGCTGGTGACTGAGGGGTGCCTTCATCACCCTTTGTTTACGTCCTCCAGCCCAACTTGGGACTTAGGTGGTGGGACTAGAGACCCAAACCCTGGCTCCCAGCCTGTCCCCCTCTTTGCACCCCAGCCTTTCTCAATGTAGCAGACCCTTCCTAGGGGAGCAGGGAGGGGAAGCCACAGTTTGCAAACCCAGGAGCTACTTTTACATTCTTTGTAAAGCCTCCTTTATATCCTCAACCCAAAAGGCAATGCCCCTCCCCTGCCACCTCCAAGCCTGGAATTGTGCATAACCCGGATCTTGTATCTTTGTATAACGGATGTTATTTGTACGAAGGGCAGTTCGTAAACAGCACTTGTTCTTTTAATAAAAGAATGTTTTACAAAAAAAAAAACCAAAGAGACCTTGGTTTGTCTGGCTTTACTGAAGGGAAAGAGAGGTGGAGGGCCAACTGTGGTCTTGTATCTTTGTATAACGGATGTTATTTGTACGAAGGGCAGTTCGTAAACAGCACTTGTTCTTTTAATAAAAGAATGTTTTACAAAAAAAAAAAACCAAAGAGACCTTGGTTTGTCTGGCTTTACTGAAGGGAAAGAGAGGTGGAGGGCCAACTGTGGGAGCCTTGGGAGGGGATGGAGGTGGGGGTGGGTAGATGGTCTACTAACATTTCTTTAAGTACTTGGAATAGTACTTCACAGACCAAAATGCACAAAATACCCAGGTTGCATATTGAAAATCAGATACCTTTGCTCCACGCATAAAAATGTAATGTGTAGGTCTGGGCCAGGCGGAATCTGATTAAAAACAAAATACAAAAAAACCCACAACTCCATAAGTGATGAGATATATCCACACCGCACTTCTAGAAGCACTGCCTTAAGGTTCGGCAATAGAAAAAGGTCCCGGTCCGGGCAGAATCCCGGCCCACAAGGAGGGAGGGGGTCGCCGGGAGGCGCAGGCAATGAAACGGGCGGCGATGCTCCGCGCAGGTCCTTCGCAGACACGCGGGTACCGAAGGGGGCGCCGGAGAGCCCTCCACACCCTGGGGGCTCCGAGGGGGCTGCCGGGCCGGCTCCTCGGCCCGACTTCCGGCAGCTGGGGCTGGACGGCCCGCGCAGGCCCGCGGCCCGCACCGCGCGAACCCCGCGGCGTCTTCCGGGCCGAGGCGGGGCTGGGCCGGAGGGAGGCGGGGAAGCGGGAAGGTGACCGGGGCGCGAGGCGGAGCCGGCGTGGCGCAGTGGTGGCAGCGGGGCTGCCATGGGCTCCGTGCGCGGCTTGGGGACGCTCGTGCGGCCGGCGGCCTGGGTGAGCACCCGCGCGGCCGGGGCCCTCCCCTATCCTCCGCTCCAGCATCCTCCGCTCATCGCCCCGCCTCTCCGAGCCTGTCCCTCGGCTGAGCTTCCCCCAAACCCCTGCGTAGCCTGGTGCTTTGCAGCCGTCCCTGAGCGCCCGTTGGGTGCCAGCACCTCTCCCAGCAGCTCCCGTTCCTCTCTCGGGAGCGCTTATTACCTTCGTATTTCTAACGCGCGCCTAAGCCCTGCGGTCTCTTCCCTCCCTCTGAAGTCTTCCGCTTTCCATTGATTTTATTTTTCTGTTTCCAAATCACCGCCCCGCGGATGCCTGCTTGCCTTGCAGACGCTGAACCAGAGACGGGACATCACCTCCTGGCTGGTAAGCCCTACCCCCCAACTCCACCCTGTTTCTCCTTCCCTCTACCTGAGTCCCCCAGGCCCAGAGAGACCACCGAGGTAGAGACCGGAGGAGGAAGCCAGAATGGGTCAGCCCTGCTCTGTAAACTCCAGCCTGAGACTCCCTTGTCTATAGCCGCCTCGCCCTAGCTCAAGGGAAATGGGGTGAGGGCGGACGGCAGAGGACGGGGAGCAGGCTTCTGCATGAGCAACCCCAGTGCCTGATAAACCGAGTCCCAGGTGCCGTTGGCTCCGCCAAGGCTGGCAGGATCCTGGCCCTCCACCCCTAGCACCAGGGTGAGAGCCAGGGCTTGAAGGGAAAGCCTGGACCCTGAAACCTATGTGGTTTCATGGTATTGAAATCTCTTCTCTATCCTCAGCTCGGGGGCCCTCACGGTGGGGAGGGGGTGGTCCTTGCAGGGTGAAGTCAGATCAGCCTCCTGCAGAGAATGCCTGTCACCAGCCAGGGCCCTGGGAAAGCTGGACATGGCCACAGGCCAGAAAGTGCTTCCAAGGCATGAGCTGACCTTTCATCTTCCCTGCCACAGGCCCAATGGTTCCCCAAAACCCCAGCCAAGCCCGTGGTGGCCCTAAAAACACCCATCAAGGTGGAGCTGGTGGCTGGGAAAACCTACAGGTGGTGTGTGTGTGGCCGCAGCAAAAAGCAGGTGAGAGACCTGTATCCCCCCCATTGATATATCACACCTGTGGTTTGGGGACACCACGTGTGGCCCAGGAACTCCCATTCAAGACATTCCTTTTTCCCACGGATACCTGAGCGACCATGAGGGTGGGGGTGGGGATATTCTCAGGCCAGCCCGGAGCTCCCAGTTCTCTGCATCCACCCTTCAAGGTGGAGACAAAGAGAAACAGTCCTAGGGCCAGGCCGGTGGAACCAGAGTTCTGTCCTCTTCTGGTGCTCCTTACTCTTCAGAGGCTGCGGGCTCTGCCCAGAAAGGCTTGCCTCTCTCTCTCTCTCCCCTCTTTCCTTCTTCTTCCTGGGAAACATCTGGGTTCCCGGGCCTCAGCCCCCAACATTTGGAAGACTCTGAGCAGCCTCTCTGTCCCAAGTGTGCCCTTCCTGGCGTCTGCTCCTGAAAACTCCCTTTTTCAGTTTCTGTGACTTCCCTGGTTTCTTGCTGTCTTGTCATCCTGGCTGCCCGCTCCCCTCTCTCCTGCCCCAGGAGCCTTCCACCCCTCAGGAACCTGCCCCACATTCTTAGCCTCGGGGCCCCTTTCCTTTCTGAGCTGGCTCAGAACAGTGTTCCTCCAAACTGCATGATGTGGTGTCAGCAGCCCAGGGCCCGAAGTCCTGCTTTGCCACCAATTTGCTGTGGACTTTGAGCAGGTCCTCATGAACATGGCGCTCTGCTGCCTGCCCGTGAGGCCTGGTACCGACTGGCCCTTTGTGTCTCTCTGCCTCTTGCCCTCTGGGACCAGTTTGCTGACTTTCATCTGCACACTTCTCCCATCCACCCTCCTATCCCACCCTCACTCCAAGGGCAAGAGGTCTTGGCTCCAGCTCTGCCACTCAGTAGCAAACCACCTGTCTGGGCCTGTTTCCATTACTCAGGCTGTGTAGGAACACCTTCTGGGGTGAAAGGGCATAGATGCTCACACCAGGCAGCCAGTTTGCTGTAGGACCTCACCGTCTTCCCTTCTTTCCACTCCCCTCCCCGCAACATCCACGCCCCAGAATACGCCCAGTTGTTTCTTGGAGCCAAACAAAAGTGATACCCCAGTCTTAAAGCCCACTCAGAGAAGTTTGTACCTTAAGAACATGGGAAAGAAAATGAATGTCATGAACCAATGGAGACTCAGAGCCATTAAAAAAACCCAAAAAACCATTATCAGTATAAAAGTTGCTCATCCTTAAGGGCCCATTTTGCTTTGAAAATTCTCTTCTTGGGTCCCCCAGAAACTATTCCTGTAAGGACATACTTACTGAACACTTTTCTACTGGCAGAGTGCATGATAAACCTTTATGCATTTTATTTCTTGCGATTACTCTGATTACTGTCACATTACAGATGAAAAAAGTTGGGCAGTGTCACTCAGATACCTGTCCCCCTACCAGTGCTGTCCTGCCCCAGCAGGTGGGGTTGGGTCTCTCTGACTTCTTTCTTTTCCTCACTAGCCCTTCTGTGATGGCTCCCACTTCTTCAAACGCACTGGCCTATCCCCACTGAAGTTCAAGGCCCAGGAGACCCGCATGGTGGCGCTCTGTACCTGCAAGGCAACCCAGAAGCCCCCATACTGCGATGGTACCCACAAGAGTGAACAGGTGCAGAAGGCAGAACTGGGCTCCCCACTCTGAGGGGTGGCTCACCCCAGGGATCCCAGCACCCATAGCTGGTTTATGAAGGGCTTGCTCCGATAACCCAAGGTCTCCAATCTGGGGCAGATGGGAACAGGCTCTGGCTTTGATGCCTGCTGGTGAAGATGGCATTAAATAGACGTGCTAGCCCAGAGTGGTGTTCTTGTGGTCATAGGTGTGAGGGACAAGACCTATCCCCCTTCAGGATCTTAACCTGGGCTGGTGATACCAGACTGGCTGCAGGGAGGAAACAATTCAGGTTCATTCCATACAGGGTCCCCCAAAGCAGGATGACCCACTCCAGTACTCTTGCCTGGAAAATCCCATGGACGGAGGAGCCTGGTAAGCTGCAGTCCATGGGGTTGGGAAGAGTCAGACACGACTGAGCGACTTCACTTTCACTTTTCACTTTCATGCATTGGAGAAGGAAATAGCAGCCCACTCCAGTGTTCTTGCCTGGAGAATCCCAGGGACGATGGAGCCTGGTGGGCTGCCGTCTATGGGGTCGCAAAGAGTTGGACATGACTGAAGTGACTTAGTAGCAGCAGCAAAGCAGGATGAGCCCAGAGACTAGAGGAGGCCAGAGGACCCCGCCCACCCTTCCTGTCCCTTGTATCCCAAAGAACTACAGGCTCCGGAGAGTATGCAGCATTTATTACAAAGCCAGGAGATACAAACATCCCAGGGCAGAAGGGTACAGCCAGCCACAGCACCTCAGACATAGGACAGGGTGTGAACACAGACAAACCCATTGGGGGATGCCCGGCCCCAAACACGCAGTTGTGATAGAGTACTGCCTCCTCCCCTCACAATCCGATCTATGTACATTGGAGGAAAACAGGGGGGCAGGGGTCTCTTGGGACCCACCCCTCATGGGGGTGGACCACTTGACTTCTCAGGATGGAGCTGAGGTCAGACCTACAGGTTTCTGTCTCCTTGTGCTTTTAGATGTCTCTGTTGCTCTTTTCTGACTTGGCCTCAGCTGCGGGTGGGGAGGGGACTAGAGGACTGTTTGCCTTTGGCCAAATCTGGGGTCTGTGCTTATGTGAGGTCACCCTGCCTCCACCTCTCCACGCCAGCCCCCAGCGAGACTGCCCCACCAGCCTTGGTAGTGCGGGCTCCTGGGGGGGAGGTGTGGGGGAGAAGGAGTGAAGCGGTTCACAATGTTAACACCACAGGGGAAGTTCAAGGGCCGAGGCCTCCTGTGGCCTGAATCTTCTTTTCCACAAGATAAATGATGCAAAGGCCACACACATGGGGGCACTGGGGGTGAGGGGAGGGGGGAGGCAAAACTATCTATTCTTTATACAAAGTTTCCACTGCAAGAGGAGGAGGTAAGGGAGATGCCCTCTCCACTGCCCACTTGCTCCTCAAAACCAGGGGATAGGCTGCATTTGTAAAAGGCACTGTCTTTGCAATTCTCTGAACATTCAACAATGGTGGGGAAGGGCACTGGTCAGGGTACCGGTAGGACAGCAGCCAAGAGGGGGCAAGAAACAGAGAGGACCCCATACACAGCCAGTTAGAATTGTGCCTAAAGCTTTGGGGGTTGGTGGGGGCCTCTCAGCACCCCATATGTCTTGGGAAACAGGAGGAGGAAGGGGCAGAGTGATACTGGGCCTCAAGTGGCCCCTCCAATTCCACCTCTAGGCACCCCCAAAAAGAGCAGAGAGAATTCCACAAGACCCCCTAAAAATGAACACCCCACCCCCCACACATACACACACACATAAAGTTTGTTTCCTGTGGCATTTAAATTAATCTGGTTGGTCCATAAAAAATAAGTATGTATATTTGGTTTTTCCTATGTACATATATATATAGATTTATTTATAAAACCCATCCCCCACCCCTAAGGTGGGAGGAGCTGGGGAAAATAGAAGAGGTGGAAAAGGGGGCCCAGAAAAAGTGGAGGGGTGGAGAGGCATGGCTGGAAAAGGAGGGCGAGGGTCCCTTTCCTCAAGTTAAGGGGGGCACAGGAGCTCCGTTGACAGTCATCTTGCGCCCCCTGCTGGTGGAGGATGGTGTCTGCAGGCAGTTTGAGGTGCCCCCGTTGGCAGCTGCAGTGGCCCCACCGGCTGTCACAGGGGGAGTGGGGGAGGTGGGGTGGGGGGCCGAGGGGCCATGGGAGCTGGGAGAGCCATGGGAGGGGGTGGCTGGGCTGGGCAGGGAAGAGGAGGTGGCCGGCAGGGTGGCAGGGCTGGGAGCCTTGTCACTGACTGACTCACACTCGGATGCCCCGCTGGTATTGGTGCCCTCGGAGGGGGTGGGTGCTGTGGGCAAGGTGAGTCGCTTGCAGGCTGGCTGGACGCGATACTTGAGGGGGAGAGGGCCGTTCTGCAGGGAGAAGGGAAGGGAAGGGTGTCAGGAGAAAGAGGCTAATGGGGCAGCCACCCACCTTCACCCCATAGCGCCCAAACAGGGAGAAAGGGAGGACGAGACACACAGATGGGACTGACCAACCAAGGCGGGAGAGGAGGAGAGTGTCAGACCAGAGACAAAGAAAAAAGGCAAGAGGAAGGCCAGAGAGCAGAAGGCAAAGTTTACTCCCCACGGCCACCCAAAGCGGCACATGCGGTCTGCCCAAGGATCCATTTTTCCTCCTGAGTATGGAAGGTCATCAGTGAGAGATGGTCTGGAGGGCCGCCCTGGACATGCCCAGCCCATGAGACGAGGGATGAACTCTCTCTGATTAGAGCAGGGTGGCCCACGTGATGGTCCAGGGTCCCTCCAGCCCTGTCCCCTGTCTCATACCACCCCACCCACTCACCCGCCGCCAGGGGTAGATGTAGGCGATGTCCATGAGGGTGTAGTATTCCTTCAGTGGCTCATCCTCATAGAGAACCTCAACCTGGAGGAGGAAAGGGCAGACGGCTTAAGGCTCCAGCTGTTTGGCAAAGAGGCTCTAGGCAGGTGATCCCTCATCCCTCTGAGGTCGCCCGGTGCATCTGACTTCCTCTCAGAGTTGTCTCAACCTAANCATCCCTCTGAGGTCGCCAGGTGCATCTGACTTCCTCTCAGAGTTGTCTCAACCTAACTCCTGACCAGGAGGTGGGAAGAGATCCAGAGAAGATGCCCACATCATCAAGCCATCCCCGGCCATCCACCCAGTGCTCTGGGTCCATGTCTATCTCTGGCATGTTCTCCAGAGGAGCTAACAGACACAAAAACAGCCCCAGGGAGAAGGCACAAGGTCGAATCACACCAGTGCCTGGATCCTGCTCCACAGATTGTTTTCAATGGTATGACGTGAATTGAGCTTTAATCCTAAGAAATTACTCCTCGTGTGATTCTGACATGTGGCAAAGTTTGGGATCTACTTTCCTAGAGCCTCAATAGGCCATGGACCAGAAGCACCTGGGAGCTTGCTAGAAATGCAATGTCTACTCAGTCAGAATTACATTTTAACAAGACTTCTAGGGGATCATACACATGTTCAGATTTGAGAAGCTATATGCTAAAGCTCCTTGGAAATTTCAAACTAGCCATCTGGCCCTAGATATGGCCCTAATTTTTTACACACAGCTCTGCCATAGTTCTAAGCATGCAAGCATGTACACACACACACTTATCTTGGTCCCATGCACCTCTGCACACTGGTTTCAGCAGAAGCAGACTGCCCCACCTGAATCTTGTTTTCAGTTACCATTCTACACAGGCTGTTACACAACATGCAAGTCCTTGGTGACACCAAACCAGCCATGAACCATGACTAGGATGCAGAGACTGTCAGACACATCCACAAACAAGACACATGTTTCAAAGGGGCCAGGGACTCACCTTGTACTTACTGGGCACGTCCATCTTGTTACGGAGAAACTTGGCAAGATGCATGACAGTCATGGCTGCTGGGCATCGCAGGAAGCGCACGCCTGTCTGCTGGGGAAGAGGCACTCAAGGGCTGGGGTCTACCCCAGGCACTCTTTCCCAGCCCACACTCTGCGCCTGGGCAGACCCGAGCACTCACCTTCTCCTTGTCGCCATCCCCATTCTCCAGGGGGCCCTTCTTCTCTTCCCGGTCTCTGCAGAAGGAGAAGGAATGAAGCAAGGGAAAGCCTGCAGCAGGCAGGACCTAACGGCACACAAACATCTGGAAGACCCTCCCGGAAGTGCCCTTTCCTCCCAGGGAATGGGGACGGCATGGGAGAAGAGACCTGCCTAGGGCCCTGAAAGGGCCAGGTGTGGGCCAGACTTGCCTGACACCTTCGTAGAACTCGATGGAGAGGCTGACGATCTCGTCGTCGCTCAGGGCCCCCTTCTCCTGCTCCAGAACCTCACCACGGTCCTCGTTGGAGCCGTTGGGGACTGCGGAAGGAGGGAGCTGGGAAGGCTTAGCTTAGGAGCAGGGAGAGGAACCCTCCATCAGCCCAGGCATCTCAGAGCTCAGTGCAGTGAGCCCAGCCTCCCCCAACCCTGGGCTGGGAGGCAGCGCAGTGCTGCCCACTGGCCTTCCATGCCTCTGGCCCTGGTGCCAGGGGGTGGGCCGCGTGTGCGCACACACGTGAACACACTCACCTTCTGTCAGGGGGTAGGCTGCATAGAAATCCCGCCGCCGTTTCATCTCATCTGGAAGAGAGGGAGCAGGCTCAGGGGAAGCAATAGGCTGGGCAGTGAGGGCTGGTGGCAGGGGGACACAGGGTGAGGTACCTTTAAAAAGCCCAGGGACCAATTTGTAGACAATGTCTTGAAGGGTTTTGTCAGATCTGAAAAAAAGCACACAGGAGCCAGTCGGCAACCACCTCACCCTGACTCTCCAGCCTAGGCTCCTTCTTCCCAACTCTCTTGCTGAGATCCAAGGCCCAGGCATGAGGGTTCCTGTAGGCCCCGTCTCTACCTCTCTAGAATTTCTCAACTGGATACATCATCCCCAAGGGACAGTCCATGCCCGATGCTCCTCCCCCACCTGCCACCCTGACTTCAGGAAGCAAGGAGGGAGGGGACAGAGGGCAGCTGCCCCAGAGGATGGGTGGGAGCAGGAGGAAATGCTGGGCCCACCTGATGCTCAGCAGCGGCCGGGTTTTATGGACCTGCACATCGCACATGGGGCAGTACTTGTTGGTCTCCAGGTAGCGCACGATGCAGGTTTTGCAGACTTCGGGGGTGTGGAGAGAGGAGGAAGAGTCAGAGTCCCCTCTGTAACCCAGGATCAGCCCCCACACTCCCTGCCCAGGTTGAGGTATCCCCTCTTGTCCACCATGTTCCTGCAGCTCAGGCCCTTTCAGAGACCCAATGCAGCCCTGCTCTGCAGATGGCAACAGCCCCTTATCCATCCTTGGGGAAGAAAAGATGTGTGTGTGTGCATGAAGCCAGTGTTGAGTATCATGCAGAAGGTGAGCCCCAAGTTCCAAACCCCCTTGTAGAACAAATCAACAGCCAACCCACTAGATACTTCCCAGTTCCCTGACTGCTAGTCACAAGCCTGTGGTGCACATCAGGGCACCTTGTATTCATGGGGTGCAGTGTCATCCACAGAGACTCAAGGAGGGAATAGAGATTTCAGGTAAAAGTCTCCCAAATGAACTCCTGGGCTGAACCCTGCAGTCTCCTCCCAGGCAGTCTCTCTTTGACCTGGGACCCTCACCAGACACATGGACACGACTGCTCTTCAAGGCAGAGGCCACCTACCCCAGGAGCAGCCCTTGACCCCAACTCACAGGAATGCAAGCACTCCACGATGGTAGTGGCATCTATGAAGTACCCCCCACAGAGGGCGCACATGAGGTGAGGGTTCAGCTCGGTAATTTTGATCCGTGTGGTCCGATGCATGATGCTGGGGTGGGGGCGTCACCCTGGGAAATAAAACATGGAATCAGGACCCCCGGGATCCAAGAGCTCCTCCCACACTGTACTCTACCTGCCCCAGAGGCGACATCTCTCCCTGGGCCCATGGCCCCCTCCTCTCCCTCCAAAGCCAGACTCGGGTGGTTCTTTCTGACCCCCTCTGCGTGTTCACTGAGGGCTCTGGAGGTTCCTATGACCTTGAGCAACAAGCTCAGGTTCTATCTCAGGAGCAGCAGAAAGACTGAAGTTAGACCACAGAAGTACCACTCAACTCTCCAGAGGATGTGGGGATGCGGGAAAATGGACAAGAACAGAGTTTTTAAAAATCTCCCCGACCCCAATCCATATACATACAAGTGAACTCCCTGGGAGCTACAAGGAAACTCAGCCTCCTGATTGGGTCTTTCTACTCCATCCTACCTTCCTTCCTCCCATCACTGCTCCAGGAAGCCTCCTTCTGTGGAAACACTGGGGGAATGAACACCCTAAGTCTGAAGGGGGCATCCCACCAATTGTCCCTGGGCTCTGGCCCGGCCCCGGAGCAGCTCCTTGGAAACACACCACATGCTGACCACACAGGTTCTAGGCCTGGAGCTCAAGCAGGAAATACTGAGGATGGTCCTTAGGCCCCCAAAGTTGGGAACACACAGCTCCAGCCTGACCCCCGGCCCAGCCTTGGACTCTGCAGATAACTGCAAAGAGTCTGGGCAAAGCGACTGCTACTGTGGCTTCTATAGGGAGGCCACCACGTGCCCCGATGGATGGCCTGCTGCATGGCACCCCTCCCAGGCACACTTGGGAATCTCCGCATGTGGGCACTGCCACCCGCCCATCTTCTCCCATCCACGACCTGGCCACAAACTGCCCAGTGACAGGCCACAGGCTCTCAGAGAGGCCTGCCGAAGCCAGGCAGAAAGTTCTGTCCACAGCCCACCAAGCACCCAGCCAGGCCCTGTGTCCAGGGAGGACAGGCAAAGCCCAGGTCTGGACTGATGTGCTTACTTCTTAGTTCAGAAATCCAACCTGTACCCAGCAGCCATGGTACCTCCCTCCTCTTTCCCAGAGAAAAGCCCATGGGGCGGGGCCTGGGAGGGCAGCCAAACCCCCAGAGCTCTTTTACAACATACATCCTTCTCTCCTTTCCAGAAAGATTTCTAAAGCCAACACATTGGGTTTTCTAGGACCCGAAATTCACAGCTGGGAATCAGCAGTTACTATAGAGACCCCAGGATGAGTTTGGCCGGGACCCAAACAGCCAACAGAGGCTGTCCAGAGACCAAAAGAGAGGGAGAGACACAAAGACCACATGTGGGAGAGACACCAAGCTGCAGGGCAGACAGAAGGGAACACGCAAGCCCACAGCCAGCATGCATGCAGCGGCCCAGACCTGCCTGAGGAAGGAAAGGGGTCTCCGCCCCCTCAGCCAGCCCTCCCTGCATGGGTCCCCCCTTCATAATTATGTAGAAACCTTGCTGGCTACTATACTGTTTGGTTGTTCCCATAGTAACCCCTGGCAAGATGCCCAAATATTATTACAACCATCCAGAGGAGGGAACAGACTCCAAGTGGCTAACTCGCTGAGTGTGTATAATATCCATGCGGTGTGTACATGCTCTGGGCCTCCAAAGGTACTTCATGTGACTACGTGTGTGTGTGTGTGTGTGTGTGTGTGTGTGTGTGTGTGTGTACACACAGCCAGGAAGAAAACTTCGGGGATCTGCTAATGCTGAGGGTCCAGACTGTGTGTACTTAAGTCGCTCAGTTGTGCCTGACTCTTTGCGACCCCATGGACTGCAGCCCACCAGGCTCCTCTGTCCATGGGGATTCTCCAAGCAAGAATACTAGAGTGGATTGCCATGTCCTCCTCCAGGGGACCTGCCCAACCCAGGAATTAAACCCAGGTCTTCTGCATTGCAGGCGGATTCTTTACCGTCTGCGCCACCAGGGAAACCCAAGGGTCTAGATTGCTGCTGGCAAATCTCATGCCCTCTTCTCTCTCCCTCTTTCACACATACACATGTGGGCGCTTCACACTGCCTTAGCCACCTCATTCACATATTCACTGTTTCCAAAACAGACACTTGGCTCTTAAGAACTCCCTTCCAGGGACTTCCCTGGTGGTCCAGTGGTTAAGACCGCGCTTCTACTGCAGGGGGCGTGAGCTCCATCTCTGATGGGGGAACTACTCGCGTGCTGCAAGGCACAGCCAAAACAAAAAGAGTTCCCATCCTCCCATTCATCCAGGTCCTGCCAGGCCAACTGTGGCCTCAACATGCAGGAGCTCAGTGACGCTCACCCTCTTTACTTCTGCAAGCGCTCGTGAGAATTCAGACCAAGACTACCCGTCGAGCTCTGTTCTGGATGCATGGGTGAAGGCAAGAGCTGTGGTGCTTATTGAGTGAAATGTTCCTCCCTCTCGCTTTAAGAAATGAGCCCCCTTGCCACACTCCCTGCTCCCCTCTCCCATCTCCAGGGGCCTCAGACTGTTACCTCTGGGGCTGGGGGTGGGGAGAAGCACTGATTGGCTCCTCACCTGATTGCCATGGTTACCTGCAGGGCCCTGGCAGCAGGTGCCTAGAACAACTGTAAACAGGAGCTCAGTTCCCTCACCCTCCTTGTCTTTCTCCCCCCATGAGGCCTCAGGGCCTCACATCTGACACCTAGCTCCTCCCCAGCTACAACTGGCTGGACCTCCAGCTCCCATCACCTTAGGGCAGAGCCTAAGGGAGAAAGAGAGGAAGAGACAAGTCCCAAGAAGCAGAAAAGGGAGACCGCGCCATTTGGAAGTGGCCCTGTGGAACTTTGGGGGCCAGTTCCAACCACATCCCCACAGTGAATCTAAGCACCCTCAACTGGGGGCCAAGTCCTTCAATACCGTCTGTCCCCATGATGATGGAACAGTCCTTGCTCCTGGCCCCCGGGTTTCAGCTACAGTGGCAGCAAAGGAGCTTGATCAGCACCCAGGACTCAACCCCAACTCCTTCGTGTCATCCAAGCTGGCATGAGTCTTTACCCTTTCTCAAAGCCTCCTACTCACTGAACCAACCCCCCATATCTCCATTCTAACCAGGCTTTTTCTGGAAGCTCCCCTCTAATTCAGACTTCTTTGTCGGGTTTGTTTGTTTTCTTTTTCCCCTGAGAAATAGCCAATCTTTGATAACCCAGAGATCACCTTCTGCTCCTTCAGATTCTCAGCTATAGGATTCTTTGCTCTGCTTTCCCCCCACATTAAATCCACCCAACTCCCTTACTAGAAAATCTTCAAGCCTTGGGAAGAGTCACTTGAGGTCACATCCAGACATCTAAAATCACAGAAGTGGAAGGGATCTTAGAAAGCATCTTGTCCAGTCCCTTCACTTTACAGATGAAGACACTCAGAAAGAGGTGACTTGTCTCAGGTCAAGTGGTCACCCAGTGGCAGTCCTAGGACTAGACACAGCCTGACTCCTATTCCAGTTCTCGTTACAGACTGGCACCCATGCTAGGCTTCCCACTCATTTAGGGAATCAATAAGCCTGGTCTGATTCCATTCAGGCAGGCAGAAGGCAGAAGGACTCCAGGTTCCATCAGAAGACCATTCAGTGAGTCGTCAGGGTCAAAACATAACCATGCGGATACAGTCTCTCTTTGAAGTAGGAAGAGTGAGCAGAGGCTAATGGCCTCACCCAACTTCCCTCATACAGGTAGTGAAGCAGGCTCTATGGAACCTCAGAGAGCCAGAATGTACTGGATTCCAGAAGTCCATCCCTCTCCCAGCTGTGCAGGTTCAGCTGTGGAAGCCTGCGGATTTGCGTGTGTGCAGAGAGAGCTGGGGGTGGAGGTCTGCTTGGGACACTCAAACTCTGAGTGTTCCCTGATCCCTGACCCCGAGTGCTCCTCCTGCCAGAAGCATCGAAAGAGTCCTCTAGTCTCCCGAAGCCGGGCTCACTCTACCCTCCCTCCCCTTCCCACCTCTCAGCATCCTAAGATCAAACAAAGACAAATATCCAAAATATACACAGTTACACACTGCCAGATACACACACACATATGCACACACACAGCCAGACACACCCCCTCCATTTTTTTCTCTCCCACTCACAACATACACAGCCAGACACTTGGCCAGACATACACACAGACACACCCCATCACACATAGAGCCAGACCAGAGCCAGGCCCACGCTTGCCAGATGTACAAACCACTCCCACCCACCCCAAGAAGCACACAGTCTGACATCCCTGCCTGAAACCAGAGCTGCAAACACACACTAACCTTTTGTGCATCCCCGGTCTACCCAGGGTAAATTATAATATAACTCTTCCGGCAACAAAGGCAGTACGGCTCCCAACCTCCACTCGGGGGGCCAGAGGCTGGAGGAGTGGGGTGGGATCCAACCTGCACAAAGATGTCACCTCTTCCTGTTCAGGCTCTCTCCATTCCCATGGCAACAGCTCCATCAACCAAGATGTTCCAGGGAAGACCAGGAGCAGCAGAGAGCACCCCCCTAAAAGACTTCAACTTGAACCCCACCCAGCTACACTCTCTCTGGATCCCAAGTCTTGAGTCTTACCTCGGGCCTGTTCCCTGCATTATTCCAAAGACAGCTCTAAGACCTCAACCCCCAACTCCAAGCCAAGAAACCCCTGGGAAAACCTCCCCACCAGAAAGCTATAACAGAGCTTTCTTTATGCTCCTTCTCCAAGTACTAACACCTTGGAACGGGGTAAGAAGAGAAACGAGAGTTTCAGGAACAAACTGCAAGAGGCCCAGAGAAGGAGGCTTAAGAACGGAGTGAAGGACAACCAGGAGACCCCCTCCCCACCCCACCCCAGCCTCAGGGAGCCCAGGAGACTAAGGCAGCGCGGCGGGAGATGCGGGGGGTCTCAGAGACAAAGACCAGGGGGAAGCGCGGGGCAACGCCTCCACAATATTTACAGAAAAATTCGCCATCCCCAGGCCTCCTCCCCTACCTCAAGCCATCCGGAGCAATTCTGGGCAGATAGGGGCAGTGGGGGAGGGAGAGAGGCATGCCTGGGCCCCCCCGTGGGGGCGGGGGGGTAGGGCTGTCTGCTAGTTGAGGGGTCCCACCCCCTTAGAACTAGAAGCAAGAGGACCTAGGGAAGGGAGGGGCAGCCGGGCTACCCAGTGCAAGTGGGGCCAGTCGGCCGAACCCCTCCTGCCTCTGCGGGCGACAGGAAATATCGCGATAAATCTTCCCCCCTTCCTTCTACCCCCTCCACCCCGGCTTCCCCAGGAGCCTGGGTCAGACGATCAGAGGCCCCAGTTACGGGTGGCCGCTCCTACCTTCCCTGGAGCCAAACTTTCGGCGGGGCCCCAAGGAGGGGTGTTCCGGAGAAAGAGGCTCCGCTGAGGTGGTTCGGGGAGGGGGCGGGGCGCCCAGTCCCGGGATGGGGGGGAAAAGGGAGCCACGGGGGGAGGTGCCCGAGAGGACCGGGCCCGGCAGGAAAGAGCGCCCTCCTCCGGCCCCGCCGCGATCGAAAAGCTGGTCCCCTTCCTCCCGGCTTCGAGTCCTCGCGCGTCCACAACGCCTCAGTGCCCACGGGAGAAACCGAGAGCGACCCCTCCCCAGATCGAAAGGAGTACAGGGGGAGAGCCAGGGGCTGCTCTGGCCCGTGGGGAGGGCCAGGGGGGCTAGGGGAGCAGAGATCCGCCCCAGCGCGGAGCCCCAAAGCCCTGCGGTGGCCTCGGACCCTCCCCCTCGCTACCTCGGGAGCAGGGTCTAGGGGGGCTGCAGCACAAAGAGGTGGTGGTCGAGGAGACGCCAAACCATTAAAGGGGGGAACCCACTTCGGCCATCTTGGAAGGGAGGAAAAGGAAAAGGGGAGAGAAAAAAGGGAGAAAGAAAGGCGGACGGGGAGAGCTAGGAGAAGGGCCGGCGGGGGTGGGGCGGCGACGCGAGACCAGGCCGGGCTCAGAGCCTCCCCGGGCAGGGGTTGGTAAAGAAGGATGTGCCGGCCCGCGTCCCAGTCCCCAGATGGTTACAGGGTTGGAGAAGGAGAGGAGACTGCGTCCGCTTACCTGGGTTCGGGGTCCGGTGGGTCTCGGGGAGGGGGGGATGGGGGACAAAATGGCTTTTTTCCTCCAGACAAGAGTAGGTCCCGCCCACTACTCACCCACGTGACCTCATTCCTTCAGGGTGTTTGCGGAGAGGGGAAGAGGAGGTGGGGGAGAGGCTAACGCGGCTGCCCCCCCTAACGCGGTGCCGGGCCCCCCAAAACTAGACTACGACCTCACTCTTCCCACCAGCCCCTGACCCTGGAAGATGAGTCCTCTCCTCTGTTAACCCTCCTCAAGTAACCTCTGCCCCCAAAATATGTGTGCGCCCCCCTTTCCCCCAGACCCTACGATCCTCGCCCCTAGCTGGGGCGCCTGGAAACTGGTGAGATGAGGACTCGGCTGAAATGTGACTCGCTCTGCAGTCCTCCACGTCTCGGCCTCGACCAAAGGGCGCTGTGCTCGGGCGGGGGACGCGACGCCTCTGGCCACGCGTCCGGGTTATTTTCATTCACTCTAAGGGACACTCCCTTGAAATTAATAACTGCATGAGTGAGAACGAGCGACTCCTTCCCACCCCCTGACCCCCTCAGCCACCCGATCACCAGTTCTAAAACGCTGCGTCCGGTACCCAACCCGGCCGCTTCGGGGGCGCCAACTGCCGGGAGGACGGAGGCAGAGGCCTGGGGGGACGTCTCGCGGCCGGGGCTCGTTTGCTGTGGTGGAGGCTGGCGCCTAGGTGTGCTTGGGCGAAGAACGGGGCGCAACCTGGGCCGGGAGGCAAGCTGAGGACAGCAGCTCAGGCTCCGGGCCCGGGACACAATAATCTGGCTGAAGGCGAGAGACCCGAATGCATTCGAAAACGGGGCGCCGGGGCTCGGAAGTGGGCCCGCGCTTTTTCTCTGCAGGGCACTGATTCCCGCATTTTTCGCCCGCACGCCGATCGCGCTCTGAGCTCTGCACTGTTGGTGCGCTTCGCTCGCCCCGGCGAGCGCAAAGGCCGCTGGTGCCCGCCAACTCCGACCGTCGTTCCGGGCTTTGGTCTCCAGTGGCTCCTGCCGGGAGGAGAGAACTAGCAGGGAGCTTGGAAGAGCTGGGAGCAGCCGCTGAGGCCGGAGCCGGGGAAGCCGATCGATATTACATTATGGAGACTACGGTGGGCCCGCCTCATTAGGACGGTCGATTTGCGTATTCGTTATTCAGGATTTATTAGGGATGGTCATTGTGTCAGTCGCTCCAAAGAGCTCAGTTGCTCGGCCAGAAGCGCCATTAAGCGCACTGGCGGTGGGTGGCTCAAGTTAGGAAATTAGGAAACGAAATCTTCATCAAGGATCGGATCCGCCTGCCTCTTCCTCCTTCCCTCCTCTTTGGCAGTCCTGGCAGATCGGAAGCTGAGGCCCCCGGACTGAATGCTTCCACCCTTTGGCTAGTGCCCAGGAGACCTGTGGACACTGGCCTCCAAGTGACCCCAGCTTTAGCCTTTGCCCCACACCCACCGAGTGGGGGCGGGGGCGGGGGGAAGAGGAAAGGCTGGAGAGATTTCCGCCCAGGGGGGTGGTCTGAGAACCCTTGGGAGCAGGGCCAGGGAAGGACTCGATCACCTGCTGTGCTCTCCCTCCTTGTGCAGGGAGACCGAGAGTTCCCGCCCTTCACTGAAAAGGGGCTCTTGGCGTGGGCACGCCCACTATCCCTCGGGCAGGTGTGTTGCGGGCATCGTGGATTCTGCCCGGGAAGACTCGGGAATCCTCTTCGGTCCCCCAGTCACCCTGCCGAAGGGGAGAGCAGCTGGGACTCCTGATTTGCGACTCCTTTCAAGCTAGAAGATCCCCGCGAGAGAAACCTGTAGGGGCTTCGGGAAGGTCTGGGTCTCATCCATGATCCACAGGGGGCACTCAGGGGCTGCCTGGATGAGGGTGGGAGGCTATCAGCTAAGGGGAAGTAGGCTGACGTCCCTCTGAGTCCCCACTTCGGTCCTTCAATCCTGGAGTGCTGCCAGAGGGTGCCACTGTGCTTCCTGGGAATCCCTTCACTGGTTCCTCAGATAGTTATTGAAGCATCAGTCACAGATCAACCACAAAGCAGGGGCGCATGCTGAAGCCCCCACTACTACTGCAACTTCATCTTAATCATTTCAGTCACTTTCCAGTCCCCACACCCCTGGCCTCTCTGGCTTATCGGGGGAACCTTCTGACCAAACCCTTCTCAATTCTGAAGTTCTCTGGTTTCCCAACCAAGAAGCATCTGTCACATGCCACTGTCAAATATTGCACTAAACACAGGGGGCGTAAAGCTGACGAGCCAGGCTTATGCCCACAGGGCACTCAGACCAGTGGGGGCAAGCTGGAGTGTTACGTAGCCTGTCCCGTTAGCTTCTATGGGCACTGTATCCCTCGGGTTTGCTGCTACCACCTACCACTCCCATTCCTTCCCTCCCCCTGTCAGGGTGGGTGAGCACTGAAGAAGGCATTCAGAAGAGGCCTCCTCTGAGCCCATCCTTGGAGGAGAGATCAAATGTGGAAGGGAACTGCTTGAGAGAGCGTCTCCTAAAAGCAAGCCAAGTCTGCCACTCCCAGCCCAGGGATGCATCTCTGGCAGCCAGGAGGTGCCAGAGCTTCTCCTCGATTGTGTTAGCTGTAGTATCTCAGGAGGTCACCTAGCTGACAGACTTCATTAGAAGAGTCGCTGTCTGTCATAGACCAAAAGCTTCCAGAGGGCAGGAACTCGGGAGTCTAGGTAATTATTTCCAGCACATATACTAAGAGATACTGTGGTGATAAGATCTCCTGGAAGAGGATGACAATGTTAGGAGAGAGCAGCTCCTCTAGACCTTTTATGACTACCTTTACCTCTGTGCTCTTTGACTCCTCTCTCCCCAAAACAATGTCCTTAGATTCTGCTTCTATTTCCCCATCTTCTTCCCCACATCTCTTTATTTCTAGAAAAAGAAACTGTTTTGTTGTTGTCCAATTCCTTTTTCTCATGCTTCCCATACTAAGAGTCTCTTTTCCATTTTCTCCAGGTCTTCCTTCCACTACGCCTGTTTGTCATGTCTTTCTCTCTGTATATCACAGCTGTGTTCTCCTTTTCTCACCTTTCTCTTCATCCCTCAATTTGTCACTGCCTTTGTCTCTCGCGCTATTTTCTTCCTTTCCAAATGTAACATTTCGAGATTGTAACATCAATAGAGACAGACAGTGGAAAACTGACCGATCTCCACTGCAAATTCATTCTTTTTTTTTTTTGCAAATTCATTCTTAATCTTATGGAAAATGCAACCTGAAACGTATTGCACGGTGAGACAAAAACCTGTCTTTGCTTTTCCGGCAATCCAATTTGGGGGCGGGGTTGGAGGTAGGTGGCGGAGGGAAGTGCTGGAGAAATCCTGTCATTCACTGAACAACAAAGAAGTTTCAATCACAATGACCCTCTGATTACCTATAGAAAAAGCGTTGTCTCTATTTCAATGCAAAATTTGGCTTTACAGCGGTTGAGTGAATAATGCCTTTAGATTTTCCTTTTTTATGGTGGGAAAAAAGGAACGTCCCTGGGTGGGCTCGAACCACCAACCTTTCGGTTAACAGCCGAACGCGCTAACCGATTGCGCCACAGAGACTGTGATAACGACTACGGTGGCGGTGAGCCGAGTCAATGGGAGTGAGCCTGCGACAGCGGAAGACTCAGAACAAATTCCATAGCGGGACGAAAGAAGTCAGACCCAAGAGAGAAAGGGAAGGGTCTCGATCAACGGATGGGAGCAGGCGGGACGTGCAAGCCTCCCCTGCATTGACTCGGGTGTGGCTGGGGCTGGCGAAATTGTCGCCTGCTTCCTCTGGATCTTAGACTTGGGGAAGTCCGGAACGTTCTTCTTTAGGGTGATGTGATACTGAGTCTACGTGAAGTCGACCTGCAGCTTCCAAATGCCCCCTTTGCAGCCCAACCCCTGCAGCCGCAGAATATCTGCGACGCCCTCCCAGCGCCCCTCTCCCTCTTAACGGTAAAAAAACACTTTACGGGCGCCTCCCAAATACCGGACACTGTTCTAGTCCAGTGCGTGTCCAGAGCCTAGCATGGTGCCTGGCATACAACAGATGTAAGGATTTCTGGAATGAATAAATGAAACGAGCTTCATGAGTAGTATCCCTGACCGCACAGCGTGCCCTTAACCAACCCAGTGGCCCTTCACTGGAGCCAAAGCCCTTTATTTCGGGTTTCACCAGCCCACGTGGACGGAGGTTCCGGCCGGCGTCTCTGGATTCCAGAGACTGGGTCCACCACTATCCCAGCTTGCACCGCGACGCCGAGCTCTTCCGCACTCACGGTGACTTTTCACTTTGCGCTTTCCTTACCTAGGTTTTGGCTTCTCAACCAAACTCCTGTACTGATGACTGACAAAGATGCACAGCCAATAGAAAATCAAAGTGTTCCGGAAGGGTCGGCCTCTCAGCCAATAGAGAGAAAGCAGCGAGGGTGGTTGCGTAGTGAGGCCCTTAGCAGGTTTGCTGGAATTGTGGCGATTGGAGGTCCTAACACACCGCAATCATGGTGAGACAGGAGGCAAAGAAAAGGGACATGGGGTAGGGATAGAGGAATGGGGAGGGGAGGTCATGGGAAGTTTGGGAGGTCGAGAGGCCTGGTGGTCGATTGAAGGAAGTCACTTCAGTTTGAAGGGGGAGCGAACCTTGGTGAGGACCGCGGCAGGGAATGGGGCTCCTCGCAACCTCACAGCGCTAATCTCAGAGCTGGAGTTCAGGGTATCCAGGCGCCTCCAGAGTGGAGGACGGTGCCTACAGGAGCCTGCGAATCAGGGGCTGCGCCGGGTGCTATGGCCTCGTTTGCCCCTCGCGCTGAGCCTCTCCGCTCTGTTTGCTTCAGTCTATTATGTCCTATAACGGAGGGGCCGTCATGGCCATGAAGGGGAAGAACTGTGTGGCCATCGCTGCTGACAGGCGCTTCGGAATCCAGGCCCAGATGGTGACCACGGACTTCCAGAAGATCTTTCCCATGGGCGACCGACTGTACATCGGCCTGGCGGGTCTTGCCACCGACGTCCAGACAGTGTAAGTGTCGGGGGTTACCACGCACACCCACGCTTTTTGAACTAGCCTTGCCTAGTGGGATGAGTGGCCTGTCAGTCTTCTACGGAACAACACCAGTGATTCTGAGACTTTGTCGAACACTGTAAACGATAGAGTGGATCCTAACCAGCTTAGCATTTACTCTGAGCCAGATACTGTGGAAAGCACCTTATCTTCATGGACTTTAATCCTCTTAAGGGCATGCATCACCGTGTTACTCTCCCATTTTGCAGATGAGGAAACAAGGTATCAGAGAGTCTTACTGCTCAAGTTGTAAGCTTGACTCCCAGGATCCCAATTTCTGAGGCCAAAGCTCATGCTCAGTCCCTAAAGAACTACAAGTGGTCTAGTTGGGAGACAAGGCAGGCATTTAGAAAGATAACTAATCCATAATGAGCTGGTGCATATTAACTGCTAGAGTAGCTACTTAGTTGACAGTGATTTTGTGAGAGAAGGGAGAATTGGGGAGATGAAATAAGTGATTCTGTGAGGTGTGATGGTTGTGGTCATAATGGGGTGGTGTGGTGGGAAAGGAAAAGAAGGCATTTCTGAGAGTTGTTGCTGACTTACCTCAGTGGCTACTTGGATATTGAGGTTGGGATTCATGTCTTTTTTATCTGTTAAGTGTCTAGTTTGGTACTTGACATGTAGGCAGTTCAGCAATGTTTCAAAGATGATTTTTGTTTTGAGCATGTTGACTGAAATTGAGAAGACTAGTTTTAGGGGAAAGGGAATGACTTTGATTTTGATACCAATTTTGAAGTGAAAAGGTGAGCCAAGTAGAAACATTCTGTGAGCAGTTGAGGTCTTGAGATTATATCTCAGGGCTGGATAGGCATTGGTGATCTGTTTACTCTATGGGAACAGATTACAGAGAGACAAAATGTATAGAGGGAAAAAAATAAGTGACAACTCAAGAGCTGAACTGTATATTCAGTAGTGGGGTAAGAAGAGAGACAAGAGGAAAAGAGTAAGGGTCAAAGTTTCAAGAGGGGAGGTGTGGTTACAGGTAACCTAAGAAGCAGCACTTCTTGGACATAGTTCTTAGAAGATTGATAGTTCCTGATGTGATATTTTTGAACTGTGGTGCTAGAGAAGACTCTTTAGAGTCCCTTGGACTTCAAGGAGATCAAACCAGTTGATCCTAAAGGAAATCAACCTTGAATATTCATTAGAAGGACTGATACTAAAGCTGAAACTCCAATACTTTGGCCACCTGATGCGAAGGGCTGACTCATTAGAAAAGACTCTGATGCTGGGAAAGATTGAGAGCAGGAGGAGAAGGGAACAACAGAGGATGAGATGGTTAGATAGCGTCACTGACTCTATGGGCATGAATTTGAGCAAACTCCAGGGGATAGTGAAGGACGGGGAAGCCTGGCGTGCTGCAGTCCATGGGGTCGCAAAGAGTTGGACACAACTTAGCGACTGAACAACAAAAACATGTGGATGTGAGCTTGTCAGGAATTTTTTCCTCTCATTTCCTTCAAACCTTCTTAAAGTCTCAAGAATGTGTATAATGTGAATATTCTTCCTGAGATCTGAACCAACCAACCCTTTTATCCCAGTGCTGGTGGAATCAGAGAATGATGGCTTAGTGTTCCTGTCACTGTGAAGGCTCCCATTAGTCTTCCTGTCTCCAATCACAGCTGTTCCCCTCACACTATTTTCTTTTCTTCAGGAGGCTTCTCTCACCAAGTTTGCATGTTTGTGGGCAGTCATTGCTAATTTTGCTGGGCCTCATTTTCCTCACTGTATGATGAAAGCTCAGGGTTGTGTCTCCTCTGGTGTCCTGTGACTCAGTGCTACGCTTGCAGCAGTCTTGTCACTGGCCTGCTCCCTGCAGGACCTACCCCTGGGCTCAGACTGCCCTGGAGGAGGCGTGGCCTATTTTCTTAGGTGTCTTTCAGTCCCTTAGTGCAGCTGCTGCTGTTTACTAACACTCATACATTATCTCACTGCCAAATGACTTATTTTGTCCCCATCTTAGGAATGGAAAAATTAAGCTGTAAGAGGAAGACTTAGCCCAAGTCAGCTCTCTCAGTTTATTGCTCTTTCTTTTATTTTTTTTTTCATTTATTTTTATTAGTTGGAGGCCAATTACTTTACAATATTGTAGTGGTTTTTGTCATACATTGACATGAATCAGCCTTGGATTTACATGTATTCCCCATCCCTATCCCCCCTCCCACCTCCCTCTCCACCCAAATCCTCTGGGTCTTCCCAGTGTACCAGGCCCGAGCTCTTGTCTCATGCATCCAGCCTGGGCTGGTGATCTGTTTCACCCTAGATAATATACATGTTTTGATGCTGTTCTCTCTAAACATCCCACCCTCTTATTGCTCTTTCTACTGTAAGCTGCTATCAGTATGTCTGCCTTCAGGCTCCTGTCCAAAGTGTGCTGTATAAACTCTTCCTCAAAAAAGTGTGTGTGGGGTGGGGGCGGAGTGGGAATCCACTTCTTTACTCCCCTTTTCTCACCTCAAAAAAAGTATGAGGAAAAAGGTTAGCAGAGTGGCATGTTTACAGGTAGAAGTGTTGGACAAAACCTCAAAGTGGGCATGAGGCTGGACTTCTGGTAAGAAAATCACTGGGAGATGGGGAGGAGTCTCTTGGCAGGTTTGGGATTGTGTGTCTCCTTAGGCACCTCCTGACCTCCATGAGATGGACACCAGGGGACATTCAGCAATTACTAACACACTTTCTCCTTCTACCACAGTGCCCAGCGCCTCAAGTTCCGGCTGAACCTGTATGAGCTGAAGGAAGGCCGGCAGATCAAACCTTACACGCTCATGAGCATGGTGGCCAACCTCTTGTACGAGAAACGGTGAGTAGAAGTGTAGCCTGGGACTTGGGGAACATACCTAGGAAGGAGATTTCCCCCTGGCTGACGCATGTCTTATTTGTAGGGCAGTATCCTTATTTTTTGGGTATGTTTTCTCTGGGCCTAACAATCAATTAAGAAAGAAAAAGGGCTACTTCAGAAGAAGGCAAGGAATGCAAACAGCAAATAAACTTGCTCCCAGGCAACAAAATTAATGCTACCAAAGTGTGCCCAGGAGTCTCCTGGCCAGGAGCCACCCTTACCCCAAAGTTCATTCTGTCATGATCATTAGATTCTCTGGAATACATGGAATCTAGGAATTGGGTATGTTAATTTTTGATATTGGAGAACTTTATGGTGAGACAAGAAGGGGCCCCTAATTGTAGAATTCAGTCCAGAAGTTGTGATGAAATTGAAGGGAGAAGCCTGTAGATACTTTCCCCATTCATCTCTGGGCAAAACTGGGTGGTAAGAAGAGGAGTTGAGCTCTTTTTTTCTTTCCTTATTTATTTTTTTAAACTTTTTATTTTGAAATAATTTTTGACTCTATAGAAAAGTTACAAAAGTACTCTTTAGCTTTAAAACTACATTTTTGCCATTTCCATATGTGGAGCAACATTGTTGCCTTTTTACTATTGAAAAATAGAGTTACTGTTTTTTGGTTTGTTAATAGTCTTAGCTATGAATTGTCTGACATGTGTAATAACCATGTTTATCAAAATCCCAAATTGAGAAAGGCTTAAACTATTTTATGGCGGCAGGCAGGGAGAGGTGTTTCTTTTGTTTTGTTTTTTAAATTTAATTGAGATGTTAAATTTCCTATATAAAGTATTTATATATATAAAGTATTTCCTATATAAAGATCCCTATGATGACCCAGGACCCTATAACATTCCTGTTCAGCCTAAAGAAGTCAGAGCAGTCATTACCCCTTTCCTCAGTGACCTGAGTCCCCATGGCCTGAGATGGGGTAGATAGATAGTCACAAGCAGGGTGTTAAGGGGCCAAAGATTTGACCCATAAATAAAAAGAGTGGGGATTATGGAGCCCTATAACCAAGGTCACAGATGTGGAGCCCTGTACCAAGGTCATCTCTGGAACTGACTAATCCTCATAACAGCTGTTGCCTTGAGACCCCTTGACCTAAACCAGCCAACTCGCTGACTCCATATTAGGTAAAATACCCACTGTATAGCACCCTAACCAATCACCTAATGCCACCCTTCCGGCAGGAAGTTTCTTTGTCTTTGAGACTATAAAAATTGGCTACTAGCCCACAAAAGGGGTCAGCTCTCCCTTGAGCTGGCCTGGTGTTCTAACAGCGTCTCCTGCCTAATCAACTGTATTTTCCTCTCAAAATAAATAAATAAATGAAGATCTCTTAAGATAGATTCTTCTCAGATCTCAAGGTCTAGAACAAGTTTCTGATGAGCTATTATTTCCTGATGGCAGACAATGACAATAACCCACCTCACTGAGTATGTTTTTTTGCTTTGCCTTCTGGGAGACTCAGAACAAAACTTTGTGTTTAGTTTGAGTGTCTTGAATTCTGTTTGGAGGGGTTTTTTTTGGTGGTGGTAGTGCATAGGAAGACGTTTTTTAAATGAACTGATTTAGTGTTTTGCTGGTTTCTAGTAGCACAAAGTGATTTACTTTTATGTATATATGCATATTCTTTTCCATTATAGTTTTTTCACAAGGGCTTCCCTGATAGCTCAGTTGGTAAAGAATCTGTCTGCAATGCAGGAGACCCTGGTTTGATTCCTGGGTCGGAAAGATCTGCTGGAGAAGGGATAGGCTACCCACTCCAGTATTCTTTGACTTCCCTTGTGGCTCAGCTGGTAAAGAATCCACCTGCAATGCAGGAAACCTGGGTTTGATCCCTGGGTTGGGAAAATCCCCTGGAGAAGGGAAAGGCTACCCACTCCAGTATTCTGGTCTGGAGAATTCCATGGACTGTGTAGTCCATGGGGTCGCAAAGAGTTGGACATGACTGAGCAACTTTCACTTCACTTCACGTGTTTTTTTTTTTTTTACAGGATATTTAATAACCATTATAATTACAAGGTATTGAACATAATGCTGTAGAGTAGGACCGTGTTTAACTATTTCATATATAGTAGTTTGTATCTGCTAATCCCGAGCTCTTAATTTATCCCTCTCCACTCCCTCTGCCCTTTTGTAACTCTGAGTTTGTTTTCTATGAGTCTGTTTCTATCTCATAAATAAGTTTGTGTCATATTTTAGGTTCCACATAAGTGATACCATATGGTATTTTTTACTTCACTTAGTATGATAATCTCTAGGTCCATCCATGTTATTGCAAATGGCTTACGTTTTAGTGGCTCAGTTTTATTTTCAGTGTTTTTCTACAAACTGCTTGAAAATCTTTTTTTGAAAGGAGTAAAGGTATAGGTGTATAAATAGAAGACTGAATAGTGACAGGACCTGGATGAGGATAGGGAAGAGTAGGTAAAAAAAAAAAACAGAATTCCCAAAGAAAGAAAGAGGAAGAGAGGGTCAGTGGTGAGGGAATATGAAGGTAAGAGTCAGAGAAAAGAAGAAAAAGTCTTAGAGCATTTATAGATGCCAGGAGAGGAGGGGAAAGGAGATTTGGATCTGGGCCAGGGCCTTGTCTGGATAGACTAAACAGGAAAGGAAATGTTTTTGAGTGCCATTTTCTCTCTCTGCTCCTGGTCCCACAGGTTTGGGCCCTACTACACGGAGCCGGTCATTGCTGGATTGGACCCGAAGACCTTTAAGCCTTTCATTTGCTCTCTAGACCTTATTGGCTGCCCCATGGTGACCGATGACTTTGTAGTCAGTGGTACCTGCACTGAACAAATGTACGGGATGTGCGAGTCCCTCTGGGAGCCCAACATGGTGAGTTGTTGGCATGGAGCGGGGCTGAGTTCTGAGGTGCCCACTCCATGACCATCAGGGGAAAATGTGTTTACCTGGCTGGTAATGAGGAGAATCCCTGGAGAAGGAAATAGTAACCCACTCCAGCATTCTTGCCTTTGAAATCCCGTGGACAGATCAGCCTGACGGGCTACAGTCCATGGGGTCGCAAAAGAGTCGGACACGACTTAGCAAGTAAACAACAATAATGGGGAGAATGGTGTGGGTAGGAGAGAAAGCCACAGCTGTTGAGCCTTGGAAGGGTGTCCAGGAACTTCATCTGCCAGAGCCTTGGCTCCTAGATAGAGTACCTTCTGTGAGGAGACCTCAGTCAGATATTTGCTACAGTGACAAATAATTGCTCATGTGGGGTTTATGAGGTTCTCACATCCATTTGTTGAATAAACATTTAACAGGGTGTAGGATTATTTAGAGGCAGCTCAGCAGAATGGGCTGTGGAGCCAGGTTGTCTGGGCTGGGAACCCAGGTCCACCTACCGTCTAAATTAGTTATGTTCTTCGGTAAGTCCTTTTACTCCTCTGTGCCTCCACTTTCTCAGCGGTGAAGCAGGGATGATAGTAGGACCTGTCTTACGAGTGGTGGTGTGAGGAAATGGCCTGGAAAGACCGGAACAGTGCCTGACAGGGAGGGTTAACTGGTGTGCCAGTTCTGCCAGGCTCCAGGGAAACCAGGTAGTCCATCCTCAAGGGCCCATTGCAGCCAGTGAAGCCAGACAGACACCCAGTTATCTGTTAAAATGAAGTTGACTGGAAAGAGGAGGAAAGAAAGGGCCTGATTGGTAGAAGGAACAGCCTGTACAAAGGTCAGAGGTTCAGGAGGGGCCTGGGGAGTTGAGTGACTGGAGAGAGCTTGCTGGGGTTGCCAGAGTGTGCGCAGAATGTGGGCTAGAGAAAGGCGGAGCCTGAGGTCAGAATGAGACTTGCAAATGCCTTGGATGCCATGTCAAGGAACTGGCACTTTTTTCCTTTGACATGGTGTCTAAGGTAGTAAGAGACCCTAGGAACCGGAGGCCTGCAGGTTGGTGCGGTGGGCTGTTGTCAGCTGCAGGAGGTGCTGAGGTCCTGAGCAAGAAAGTGGCATTGGGGGAGCAGGGCAACCAGAGTCTAGAGGACTTGGTTCCTTAAAACAGAAATGAGAATGGTGGAGATGCTGAGGATACTTGACTTTCCTAGCTAAGCCAACCAAGATAAAGGACGTAGAGGACGGAAGAGGTTTGGCGGGAAATGGTTCCATGGTTGGACAGGCACTTCTGAGCCATGTGGGAGGAGACATCATCAGACAGCTGGTGAGGCACAGAGAAGCGGTGCGGACTGTTCTCCCCATCTCACAGAAGAGGGACTGGCTTTGTGAAGGGACACTGACCTGCTCAAAGTCACGCTGCTGATTAACGGAGGAGGTTCAGGGCCTCAACTTTATTTTACGTAATCCTGCTTCCTTCTGAGAAGGAGCTGAGGGGGTTTCTTGCACCCAGGAAACTATCCCTCCAGACACAGGAGGTGCCTGAGCTGGGTACCTTGAGCCTAAAGAAAAGATTTAAGGAGCCAGACCAAGTGAAGATCTGAGGTTCTGGGGATTGAAAGGCTGCTGCTCTGTTGGCAGGATCCAGAACACCTGTTTGAAACCATCTCACAAGCCATGCTGAATGCTGTGGACAGGGATGCAGTGTCAGGCATGGGAGTCATTGTCCACATCATGTGAGTATGCGTTGGGAGAAGTCTAGGAGCTTTGCAGACACGTGCCTCTCCCCTCCTGCACAAATAGCCCATCTTCCCAGCCCCCGAGTCAGATGTGAAATAAGAAAGGTTCTTGCAGTAGGCACCATAGAGCAGAAATAATCCATTCTTCCTAAGGGTGGCAGCTGGGAGCCTACCTGGATTTCCCCAACCTCTGTCCAGTGAGGCTCCCTGGCCCCAAGTCACCTCCTCTTGCTCACAGTAGACATTTCTTTCCTTCCTAAACAGTGTTCCCAGAATCTCAGGGACCGGTGCAGAGCTCCTGCAGATTGATCAGAATAAATCCCGGGTCCCTCCTCTCCTCCCCCAGGTCGCACCAGCATGGAAGCCACACCTGTGTGGTGTACTGAGCTCTGTGAACACCTTCCAACCCCCTAGCCAGATTCCTAACTGCCACCCTTTCCCTCTTGTTTGGGGCTGTCACCGGGAATCTGACTGGCTAAAGTCAGAGGTACCCTCCGGACAGCTTTCCTTGGAAACTGTCCCAGAATAAGGGTCCCATTTGGACCCTTTTGTTACGGGATGACCTGCTTAATTATCGTGAAAAACAGATTGGGGCTGATACTGAGAATTTAGTCACTGGAGTGAAACACCTCACACCTGCTTCCTCAATTGCTTGTTCTCGGCCTGGGGAGCTCTCGCCCTGCTCCGGAGTACTTCACACTCCAGCCTTGAGTCATCCCAGCTCCTGACAGCTTCACCTACAGAAATGTCTCCATTTTCCCCTTCCTCACTACAGGCCAGGGAAACAAGCTGACGTTAGTGTAACATGGGCAACAGTTAACCCCAGAGTTAGGACAGCTGTTTGCTGTAGTTTGTTCTGCAGTCTCATGGATTTAGATGTTCTGTGCCTTTCTCCCCCTGCAGTGAGAAGGACAAAATCACCACGAGGACACTGAAGGCCCGCATGGACTAACTCTTCTCAGAGCCCACTTTTTTTTTTTAATAAAAGATTTTCTTTCACTCCTGCTTCTCTGAGTATTTTACCACAGATCTCTGTCCCCCAGCTGGGCAGTTACAAACAGCTACTTGGGGCATAGCTCAGCCCTCAGGTTTTCTTGACTTGCAGCATGCTCCACTGGTCCACCAGTGGGAGTGGTATCTACAGATCACTTTTGGGGCGCCTGCTATGTGCTGGACCCTGCACAAGGTGCTTTATATGTTCTAGAATTTAATCATCATATTGACAAGGTAATAGTTTTTTTCCTTGTTTAATGACAGTTAAGTACCTTGCTCAAGGCCACTTTGTGGTAGAGCAAAGGTGTAAGCCAATGTTCCATTTGACTCCAAAGCCTGGAATCCTTTATACCCAACTCTTGGAAAACCCTTAAATATTCTTTGTTTCGGGTAGAAATTTGGCCACGTATCCCTAAGTAGTATCCTTACACATCAGTGTTTCTTAATCTTGGCTACACGTTAGTCACCTAGGGTGCTTCCAAAACACAAGGTATTTTGATCCCTGATTTATTTGGCCTTTTAAAGGGGCCTGGACACCTCTTTCCCCCAAAAGTTCCCCAAATGATTCCAGCTTGCAACCTGTTGCAGATCCCCTAATAAGCAAGTAGTTCCTAAACTCTAGCCTCCATTATAATCATCAGGAGGGCGTGATAAAGCAGTTTCTAGTCCCGAGCTGCAGAGGGTCCTGAGGATTTATAAGTTCCTAGGTGTGGTCCTGGACCACACTCTTGAGAACCACTAGATTATAAGCTAAAACTCTAGGTGGAGAACTGGAGGCACGTAGAAGTGACTTGTTATGTCAACAACATAGCTAGTCAAGGGAGAGCTGGGAGAGAGGTGTGGCTTCCACCAAGTGCTGGTTCTGCGCACTGGGGAAGTGTGGGCAGTCTGTCCATTCCTCTGAGAGGGCAGGGCTGAGGGTAAAGGTAGTGGACAGGTGGGCCCTCCGGGGTCTGTGCTCCTGCATATGTACATGCTAAGTCGCTTCAGTCATGTCTGATTCTGTGACCCTATGGACTGTAGCCCACCTGGAAGCTCTGTCCATGGGATTCTCCAGGCAAGGATACTGAAGTGGTTGCCATTGCCACCTCCGGGGGATCTTCCAAACCCAGGGACTGAACCCACGTCTCTTAAGCACCACCTTAGTCATTGCTTATTAACAGTATCTGAAATTGAGTGACCAAAGGTCCTGACTCTTACTCAAACTCAAGCCCAGATTTAGCCCAAGCAGTCCCTGAAACTGAGACCAAAACCTTCTAATTAGGAAAAAGATAAAAAGCTTATTTCCAAAGGACTCACATATGACAGGTGTGTACACAAAGCTTTTTTGAGTTTTATTTTTTTCCTCGGGTTGGAGATTCATCTTTTAACATGCATGCATCTTAAAACAGTAACAGGGTCTCGAATTGTTCCGAGCAGACATTAGACAAGCACAGGGGTTTGAAAATTCCTATTTAAAAAAATGGAAATTGCAATGGGAAATTGAGAAGTCACACACATGTGGTGGGGTGGTAGTTTATCCTGCTCCCCCAAAAGCTGAATCTAAACTTCACATTTTTTTTTCTACAATCACCTGACCTGATGCTTGGGTGTGCTGAGTGGCACCAGGCCTTACCCCCAAAGGCTGTTGGTTCCCCACTTCCTCCCAAAATGGCTCTGAGCAAGGAGAAGGGACTCCTCTGAAGTTTCCTCCCCCAGCCTCCAAACGATCTCCAGGGACAGCCAAGTCTCTTCCCTTTGGAGACATTCTTCTTAAGTGTCACATTTCAGAAGGTTGCCAGGGCTGTGTCACAGAGCCCCTGCAGATGGCTGGTAGATTTGGGGGCAGTTTGAATGTGTTTTCCCTTTGATTCCTGTGCTCAGGTTGGAGCCCCCTCCCCACATTTCTGCCAGAAAGAAGTGGGGTCCCTGGAACTGCGGGAGCCACAGGTCTAAGGCCAGAGCCTTCTGAGGGTGGTTTTAAACACACCGTCCCTTCGAGACCCTAACATTTGAGTAGCTCAAATGCTGGGGATTGCTGAAGTTTTCTCTCTTCAACTTGATAAAAAGACAGAGGAGGGTGGGATTGGCTACCGAGAAAAAGTCCTGGGTCTTTGGTCCACCTCTCTGGGCAGACCCTGGCAGACCGTGAAGAGAAAGCAGGGCAGGAGCATGTAGTCCCAAGCCCTGAGCACTACCAGGGAACCGGTGTGAGGCCTCAAACACAGGCACGAGAAACAGAAGTAGGAGAGGGTGAGGGAGGACAAGCTGCCTGTAGTGGGGACCCAGGGAGTGCCCCTCAGCCACAGGGGCGACTTGTAGCACGCGCCACAGACCAGTAACCCCTGAGCTGAATAAGAAGACATCGAGCACTGCCTCGGGCTGTGCCCCTGGAACTGCTGGCTTCCTAGCCTGCCCCGCAGCCCCCACGCTGGAAGGCACAGGGAAGGAGCTCGCACTGGGGGATGAAGACTCAGTGGTTCATTAACAGGAACAAGGGCCAGAGGCCTTCTTCTAGTGGTTGAGGTGGAGTTTTCAGGGGAACTCTCACTTTGGTGGGGAGACCTGGGAGATGAGAGTTTTCTCAGCACAGACTTTCAAAAGAAGAGGGGCAGGATGAGAGGAGCTGTGACTGGTTAAGTGGTGGAGGGTTAGAATGGAGGGGAATCCTCCCTTATCCCCATCCAGGCCTCATCCAGTCAACTGTGCCCTATTCTTATGCCTTTGTTCTTGGGAGACCCCAAATTATTCTGGGATGCCATAAGACCATTCAGCTTTTCTTCTTGGCTCCAGAGTGATGGTGAGGGTAGTCACTTGCCCCTGGACGCCTTCTACTGCCCAGACAAGGCATGGTGGGACTGGGAAAAAAGCGGGGGCAGACAAAAATTTGGGGATCACTTCACTTTCTCTACATTCAAACTGCAAACCAAATTTAACATCTTCATCCTTACAAAAAGAAGAGAAAAACCTTGTATAAACCAAGATAAATAGCTTTTAAACATTTAAATGCCAAAGGAATTAAAGGACCAAACCCAAGGTTTTGAAGATAGCACAGAGAATGACCTTTAAAAAAAATTTAAAATCCACCAAACCACAGCTTAAATGTTTTGACCCAGTCAACAATACTGTCAGAAAAACAAAAAGAGCATTTAAAACAGAATGCTACCTCTCAAAATGTAAACAATATACAAAAAAAAAGAAAAAAACCACACACCCCACAAAAACTCAATGTTAAAGAAGTTAGATATCTTGTAGCTCACCTTTAACTGGGAACAATTGGTTACACTTTTCATACACATTACCAGGGACATGATCAGCAGACCAAATGGCAGGAAGCTGGAGACAGCCCAGGGCTGTGGAGGCCCCGAGAGGACAGCCTGCCAAGCTCAGGAGTTGCTGGGCCCGACCCGGAGCAGATTCAAATTTTCATTCTTGATTAGAAGGTGGGGAAATCAAGTCCAAACATTATTCCTACTAATCTCTCCCTAAGTCAAATCTGTTTTCTCCATGAGCCACTTGGTACAAGTTCTTCCCCAAGTCACTTCCCAGTCTTGCCGCTGACATCCAGAGATACCTACAGCCCCTTTCGGGGGGCCAGGGCAGTTGTCTGGCTCGTTTGCCTCTCTGGAACGGTTCTGACAGCCCAGTAGTCCAAGAATGTGGTCTCTATTCCCCCCTGACCTAAATGCTGTGCATCGGGCACAGAGATGTTGCTGGTTCCTGCTTCAGAAGCTGAGCTTGGCCAGGTTGAAGAAAGCCAAAGAAACCAATCCATTCATTCAAAATGGCTCCACAAACTTTCTTTCCATTTGCAGAATTATCTACAAGTTCTACCACATCTCATCCCAAGTCCCCAGTTCCTGGTGAGGAGGTGAGAAGACTCAGGAATGTACCTCCCTCAGCACAGGGTTGTTTTCTCTCCTGACCAGGCCAGACTGCTCTGATGGCCTCACAAAAGGACGCAGTTCTGAGGCCTCAGTAGCAGGCTCAGAAGGTGGTAGAGATCCTGAAGGAAGCAGCCAGATGCCACTCCTGAGGAGGCCTGTGGTGGCAGATATGCAAAAAGTCTAGAGGGTGCATCAAGGAAAAACAGCTCCAAGGTTGGGCCAGGTTGAATTGCACATCAGGCCTCCAAATTGTATTTTCCAGGCCAGATCCTCAAGTGACTCAGAAGCAACCTCAGGCTTGGGTGGCACACTCCAAAGGGGAGGGTGGGGTACACCATTCCTGCTGGCCACAACCATCCAGGTGACACATTACTTCATGGAAGCCCTGGGGCTTGAAGAGGTATCTCTGTAAGGAGCGCCCCAGGCACATGGAGACTTGTCCCCAGCTAAAAGCTCACCTACAAATGAGAATGCCTGGGAGAAGATCTGAAGGAAGAAAGTAAATGGATGGAGGGCACAAGACCTCATTTGATACTCATCAGCTTTTCTGGAGTTTTCTCAAGGGGAAATAACCATGTAAGCATGAGGGTCCTGTTATATCCAGAGGTGCTTTCTAGTTCCTCTTGACTCAGTGGGAGACAGGCTTCATTCACAGAGATGATGTCTACACTCCAGGGGCCGTGAAAAGCCCAGGGCTTGGATGATGATCATGGGGTTCTCTGAGAACCAGTGGTCCCCCACCCCTGACCATCCCGTGAGGATGAACTCATTCCCCTCTGAGATCTTTGATTCTGCTCCCAAGATGCCTAATGTTGACCTGGAGCATGCCTTTGGGAGGGAGAGCATTTAGATGGAGGAACTATGTAACATCACTTGGAGCTGAGGCCAAAAAGGTAGAGGAAGCTGTGCACAATACTCCATGAAATTAAAAGTTAACCAGACAAGATCAAATGCAGCAGGGCCGAGGTGTCTAACCTCTTCTCCTCTGGCACCAGAGCATTTTGCTCTGAGAGGACCCTTCTCTCTGGGTCTGTGGGTGCTTCTTTAATTGAGGGAACTGAGAGCAGAGCAGGGACGGGGATGGTGGGTAGGGTGATGACATAAATCATTATAAATAGCAAATCTGAAGCAATGAAATTT